AAAAATCTAGTAAATTAAAAATGTATAAGCAAAAAACTAGAACTTTTTAAATTCTGTTATTGTTGGTCTGATAATTGTGCTTCTTTTAACAATGTGCTCTTTTATAACTGTGCTTCTTTTAACAATGTGCTCTTTTTTAACTGTGCTTATTTTAATAACTGTGCACATTATGCACTGTTAATGCATGAAAGAATGAGCCATGCTGATTAGTCTCTTGATTACAAAATCTGAAAAAATTCTAGTTTCTTGCTCAATTCTGCAATTAGCTATATATTTTTAAGCATGACAAATTTTAAAAATGCTCTGCACATCTAACACCATTACATATTTAAACTAGGGGAAATTTTCTCTTTCACCAACCTTTGAATTTTCAAAGGGATTCCATGCAGTTCCAGAGAATTTTCATGTTTTGTGTTGAAAAATCTATCAAATTGGAGAATTTGCCATAAAAAATTAGAACTTTTTGATTTTGTAATAGAATGACTAATAAATGCTCAATTGTTTAGTGTATTGAGAGTGCATAAAGTGCAGGGGTTTTGCAGTTTCAGAATATCAGTGTTTCTGAATTTTCATCCCATAGGATGAATTTTCCCTCTTTTTTTTTTATATAAAAAAAGGTATTTTCTTAAAATTTCCCCTTTTTTCTTCCTCTAGGAAACAGGGGAAATTCTCCCCATTTTTTTTCAAAAAGGGGGTTCTCCACAGGGTTGAAGCTCTCAAGAAGACTGACTATATGTGGATGAAGAGGTTTTTTTTTATTTACTTATTCCTGGATTCCTTGGGACACAGTGGTTAAATTTTTGAGGCATGTGATTGGCCTATTAAGGTGCAGTCAAAGACATCACAGCCTGAACAGGATGCATCAGAATTGGGGAGGGGCGAGGGAACTCAGGGATTTGAAGTTTTTGATGCTTCCTAGCTGTGTCTTGCTGTTTACTTTTGTCAATTTCAAAGTTCTGAAAGTAAATAATTTTGCTGGCATGATGAGGCGCCTCATCAATGAGTTTATGATTCAATGAGTCAATCAATGATGAGGTGTCTGGCGCCTCATCATGCAGGCACACCCCCTCCTTACTGCCTGGGTCAGGTCTGATTTTTGCGACAACCTTGGCACTGATTTTTGCGCCCCCCCTAGCCAGGCGCCCGTGTGCAGTGAACCCGCTGCACCCGCCTTAGGCCGGCCCTGGTAGTTCTCTTATTTGATACTTGGCTATTTCCAAATACTGTCAGCTGATGGTCATTAAAAATAATTAAATGAAGTCCGTGTATTGTTGCTAACGAATATGATAATTATTTAACATGTAAGCATATCATGACATTAAAACTGGACAAATTGATGATGGAGAATATCATGGTTTTTGCAGAAGATACAACACGGCGCCAAACCTAGTGAATGTCATAATATCCTCCAATCACCAGTTCAGAAAGACAGCAATTAAAACTCTTAATTTATCATATAAGTTTAGAAATAACCTTATTTATTTATATAACAGGGATAAAATACGGACTTAATCATAAGTTATTCTAAAATTTGGAGAAACCTGAATTTCCTCCTGTAAAATTCGTATGGAAAATTATAGGAGGAGTATTTTTCTGTAATTTTTAATATTGTAGTTCAACTCCCGGTCAAATTCTCAGGATGGATTAACTTCCCTTATATAGCATACTAATTGTGATTTATTCAAGAGCGGTTTGGATCTTCATAAGACATGAATGTTGAATCTGTTGGTAAATGGTAATGCATCAGCAGCATGGACACCAGTGATGGTGAGAAGGTTTCTGCTTGTCCTCTGAAAAGTTCCTGCGAGTTTGTTGATACACAGAACATATATTTTTGATGGTGAAATAATGTATTTAAAAGAAAGCAGGATTACTGCAGAGCTAGGGCATATGCAGTGACCAGCATCACTAGTGGTTACCAGAAAATGACTTCGTTTCTTACCTGTGAAAGTTGGACCCAGCTCTCAAACATGGAAGCTTGCTATGTTCGAGAGGCATGAAGGTCATTGGCTAATTTTTAAGGTTGGCGTTGCGCGGAATGAGAGAATGTCCCAATTTTGTGTTCTTGAATTCTAACGTGTCATGTGATGCAGGGGAACGTGCGTGGATAGCCTATGAGTAGGATAGCTTCGGTCTCGGTAGGTATTCTCAATAGCTATGCTTCCGTGGGAATACGGATGTACGACAGGCGGTCGTTTATAGATGCTTCAAGAAGTAAGTAAACAAAAAACACTTCTTTAAACCAACTTTTTCTCACAAAAAGTATGCTGCAGTGTTACTTTAGCCTTCCCTGACCTGCTTTTCTTTCCACTGTCTGCGTAAAATTCCGAAAGTTGATGTGAAGTTTGTGCAAGGGAGCGAAGTAACAATTCCGTGTTGGTGTGTTTACCCAGATTTGAATCTCGATGTAAATGTAATTGTCGATTTTTCGAATCTTGTGAGTAGCTCTGTCAACCCCGCATGTCTTTGTTTCAGGTCTAACCATGTCAGTTGATGGTGATAACATAATTTTGTGTAATACTGAAGCGAAAGGTGCTTCGACCGCCGCGAACCCTGCGGGATGCTCTGATTCCTCTTCGCCTGTACCGCAACCCCATGAGAAGCGCAATTCTTCCATTTCGCCTTTCGGAGGAGGCGGTGTGGGCTATGTATCTGACGTTGGACGACCCAAAACCGTCACAGTTAGCTTGCCTGAGAAAAACAAGCAATACACTACTGGCAAGAAGAACCGACCTGTTCAAGCAGAGCTGGACGTCAACAAGGAATTCTTGAAATGTAGGGACAATGGAAGCGAACGACTTGATCTCAGTAAATCCAGTGTAAGTGTTTTGCCTGAATAGCCGACTTTTCCGACGGAACACGTTTATGCGTTGACCATGTGATAATATGTTTTTAATTTACCAGATCTCGGTTATTCCTCCAATTGTTCGGGAACTGACACACTTGAAGGAGCTTTACTTGTATCAGAACAAGCTAACAACTTTGCCGGTGGAGTTCGGATGTTTGGTTAATTTGTGTACCTTGGCACTTTCCGAAAATTCCCTGACATGCCTACCAAGTTCGCTTGTGAATCTATCAAAATTACGAGTTCTCGATCTGCGACACAACAAATTGCATGAGGTAAGAAGATTTTGAAAGATGTTTGCGGAGCCGGGATTCTTCATGCATTTCTTGCCCCCAGATTCCCGATGTAGTATACAAACTGAAGAGCTTAACTACGTTGTACCTGCGATTTAATCGAATTCGATGCGTCGGCGAAGAGATTGGAAATCTTACTGTGAGTTTTCAGAAATCGTTATCGGTGTTCGTGTTTAACGATTGCTGTTCCTAATGTTTTGTAGAATTTAACGATGCTAAGCTTGCGAGAGAACAGGATCAAAGAACTCCCGAGGGGTATTGGAAACGTGAAAAGCTTGCTGAACATGGATGTTTCGCACAACCAGTTGGAACGAGTGCCGGCAGAAATCGGACAGTGTGTTAATCTTCTATCTCTAGACTTACAGCACAATGATTTGGTAGACATTCCTGACTCTATTGGAAATTTGTGGCAACTGACGCGTCTAGGCCTGCGGTAATTACAGCTTTCCAAAATTCTAAAGTACGCATAATTTATTGGTTTCTTTCGCTGTTCACGGAACAGGTACAATCGACTGAAGTCGGTTCCCGCTTCTCTTGGTCGCTATGCTTTGATGGATGAATTCAACGTGGAAGGAAACGCTATATCTAGCTTACCCGATGGCTTACTTGCTTCATTGACTGCCTTAGAAAGCCTAACACTGTCGAGGAACGCCTTCACAGCTTATCCCTCCGGAGGTCCAGCACAATTCATTAATGTGTCTTCAATTAACATGGAACACAACCGAATCGATAAAATTCCGTATGGAATTTTCTCTCGTGCAAAAAACCTAACCAAACTTAACATGAAAGACAATTTGCTTTCCTCTCTTCCCTTGGGTAAGTGTTAAACATTCCTGGAAGTGTTTTGTCCCGTCGTTGACTTCTTCGTGTCATTTGAAGATGTCGGCACGTGGGTGAACATGGTGGAGCTTAACTTGGGAACGAATCAGCTGACGAAGATTCCGGAAGACATCCAGAATCTTCACTCTTTGGAAGTGTTGATTTTATCGTACAATTTGCTCAAAAAGTTACCATCGAGCATTGGCAACCTGCGCAAGTTGCGTGTCCTTGAGCTGGAGGCAAATCGTTTGGAGTCACTTCCAAGCGAGATTGGGTTTCTGAGGGATCTCCAACGACTATTGGTTGCGTCAAATCAGTTGACTGCTCTGCCCAGGGCCATTGGGTTCGTGTATTAGCATCTAAATAAGTTTTGAAATGATATTCATTCGAGTGAAGATTATCTCAGGAACTGAACAGAATTCAAGAAATTCTTGGAAATTTTATTTTTGCGAACAGTCTTCTGGAAATAAGTGCGAAATTCACGAAATAAAGCCAACAACTAAAAGCAAAAGACATTTACTTGATAATTTTTATGCCGATGCAGTATTCTAGACTGTTTAGAGCGTGTGTTAGGACGTCTCCCGTTTCAGGCTCTTTTCACGGGGTGAACCAAAAGAATGTCTAGGTCAAAATTCGTGAAGCATTGAAAAGTGAAGTTGGTTGTATTCAAGTTGAAATGCTATCGCGATGAATCCATGTGCTTCATCCTCATTTTAATTCGTATGAGCGAATCATCATTTCGCTTCGATTTTTCAGGCATTTGACAAGCTTGACATACTTGAACGTGGCGGAGAACAGCTTGACGTATATTCCGGAGGAGATATCGACATTGGAAAATCTCGAGTCCTTGTATTTGAATGACAATCCAAATTTGCACTCCTTGCCGTTCGAGCTCGCGCTATGCACAAATTTGCAAATCATGAATATCGAAAATTGCCCATTGTCGCAAGTGCCGCCTGAAATCTTGGCCGCCGGCTCCTCGCTCGTCATTCAGGTTCGTAATTGCCTTGGATTTATTTCTTCTTTCTGTGGAGCAGCTTTGTTCATAATTGTATTTATTTTTTTCTTCTACACAGTATTTGAAGATGCAAGGGCCTTACCGAGCTATGTGATGTTGCTGACACGGCAGCCGACAAGAGCCAGCCGTTGATTGGCACGTTGAATTTTTTATTTGAGCCTCAGCCTTATAGAGGGCGAAGGCCGATGTGTGTTCATGTTTCCAGCGCTTGTTGCTTTCTTTGTGGTGTTCATTGTTGCTGCTTTCGATGGGAGCAGTTCCAAACGGCGAGAAGTGCTGAAATGTGAGAAGTATCGCGTAAGAATGGTTCTTGGCGCAAAGCATGTTTAATCATTCGTTGTGTCCTTTTTGCTTTCGGAACACTTCATTGGAAAATGTGGTGAAATGGTGTATTCTGCCCCTTCAATCCTGACACATTGTCTTCTTGGGTAAGAACGCACTGATACTTGTTTTGCACCGAAGGCAGGAAACCCAGAAGGAAATTGTATTTCTCCCGACAAGAATCGCCGTTCGGCAGTTGGAATATTATTTGGTGTTGAATTAGATTTAGTCGGGATCGAAGGACAGCGGAATTCCCGCGAGGAGTCAAAAGTCGTGGTATCCTTGATTTATGCTATGGCAAACATGTCTTGTCGTTGGTAGTCGACGGAGTCGGTATCGATGTGGTTCTGCATCGATACCTTCACTCTATGCGTTGCTTTCTCGGAAGTGGAAAATGAGTGGACAAAAGGAGAAAAAAAAAAGGATACAGCACATCGCACGTTTAATCGGCACATTCTCGGTTCGAAGCTTTGTGGGCTTCTTTTTTCTTTTGCGTTCTAGTGCAAAACGAAGACGTTATGCATCGGAATGGGAGGCGCTTCGAGGTCTGTTGTGTGTCATATGGGAAAATGGTGGTGAGGAAGAGAAAAAGAGCGAATGCTAGTGCGAAATGTGATTGCCGAACTTGGGCTACATTTCGAACTGTGCATATTGCGTGACTGCGTTGCGCTATGGTAATTTTTTTTAATACGATGGACTTCATTCCTACGGCTCATGAGAGCGTTTCCCGGTGAAAAATGTAGCCCTCCGTTTGGAGATCCATGTTTCCAGCTAGCTTCATGTGAAACGGGAAATTTAGTTCCCTGACGATTTTTTTTCTTCTTCTTTTTTCAAACGGTTGATTGTTGCAATGATTTATGTTCAACTGCGCATTATTTCAGAACATACTTTGGTGTGGAACAGTGATCATGGTGAAACTAACTCCGGAACTCGTTACTGGGGCTTATCAGTTTTTGAATGCGTTGAGGGATCGTGAATTGGATCTAAGAGGCAAGTCATAACCGAAATCCGTGCATTGTGTTCTCTTATTTATATATTTTTTCTCTTTTCTCAGGGTACAAAATTCCACAGTTGGAGAATTTGGGTGCAACTGGGGTGAGTGTCATTTCATTGAATCTGTTCAATCGCACGGAAAAAATGCTGTGAAATATTTGCATTTACGAATAAAGTCCTGGTCAAGCTACACGACCTAAACAGACTGTTACTCTAGTCCTTCCACCTACCGAAGGGCTGTAACTTCGCAAACTTCACGTAGTACGACTTATTATTGGCGTATCACACTCACACCTTTTGAAAAAAAAAGCATTATGGAGCTTTCAAATATAATGCTGGAATTTTATCGAAATTTTCAGGAGAATTGCGGCGGCGCTTGGTGAAAGTTTGCCAAATCTCCAAGCCCTGATTCTATCGAATAATCATTTACAAGAACTCTCTGACTTGGAGCCGTTAGGAAACATTCCATCCCTGGAAATCGTTTCTTTGCTGCACAATCCAGTCGTTCATAAACCTCATTACAGGTGAGTTTTTTTTTTGTGTTTCGAAATAATCCTGTGTTTCTTTGAAATTATATGCCGCTCCGTATTCCGTTTTAAGGAGTTACGTGATCACCTTATTGCCCGAGCTGAGGATTCTGGATTTCAGAAGAGTCAAGCTAGCGGTAAGTTAGCCAAAATTGTACTGTATTTTTTTCGTTAGGGCTCACTGGATGTACTTGATGTTTTAGGAACGCAAGGAAGCTGAAAAACTGTTCAAATCTAAGAAGGGCAAAGAAATGAAGCGAAAAATTGAAACTGCCGCGAAAACGTTCGTTCCTGGTGGGGAAATTGAGACAAACGGAGACGCGCCTCCAGCCAAAAAACCAGGTTCGTTTGAAATTCAAATTTCGCGTGCCGTGTGTATCGTGATTTCTTCGCGCAGGTTGAACGTTTTTCAGACGGTACATTAAATTAAATATGGCAATTCAGAATTTTTAGATGATCAAGTTATCCCATTGTCCGAATCCTGCATTTCTTTTCTCTATATTTTTCAATCTTCATATTTCCCCCCGTGGATGATTATGAGAAATTATAAAAAACAATGCCCATGCCGTACCCGTTACCGTTCCCTACCCTTTTTAAAATCTAAAAATTTTAAATTTAAAAATTCTTGTTGGATCTAAATGCAACTACTTTTCTCAAAAATAATCCATCAGTGGTTGGCAACTTACATTTAACTGATTCAAGCTTCAGAAGGGAAAATTCAAAATTGAAAAGCAAAACTTCGTACAGGATTGATCAAATAATTGAATGGAAGTTTTCAACAACAGAAGTTGGACACTATTATTCGGACTTGATTCAACCGTTTTATCTAAAACCTTCGAAGTTATATTTTTGAGGAAGATTTATTGATTAAATGATGGAGCTCTGTGTCAATTCGTCGGCATATTTTCAGCTGGTGCCGCCTCAACTGCGGAAATGAGAAGAATCAAGCAGATGATAGCGAATGCAACATCTTTGGAAGAGGTCGAGAGATTGAATCTATTATTACAGAAAGGTCAATTGAACCCCGAGACTGCGAAGACCGGAAATGGTTAGTTTGAACCATGCTTAATTTGTGTTCGTTATTACTTTAATTCTACTTTTACTATTACAGGCGATTCCGAAATGGATGCAGAGTGAAATTCTGGTCTTTTTTGATTTTCCAGCTTTTTGTCGTTTTTTTCACTTCGCACGTTTTTCCGTTTTAAGTGGTTCAAATGCGAAACGTAATGCAGTCTCTTTCGAAATTTGAAGGCCGATCAAGAGCAGATATTTCGTATTGAAACCGAATTTTTGACCGCCGAGAAGCGAACCAAGGTTGCTCAAAAATTCTGGCGTAAATTTCTTGTAAGAATGAGTTTTGCGGGAGAAATGCCTTGGGTTGATGCATTTTTTCTGGTCACGCTTTTCATCGCCATCCTGAAAGCAGCTCTAGGAGCCTCTCTCTTAGTGATCATTTTGAAACCATGTTTTGTTTCTCCATTCATGAAGGTGTATCATTTTCTGCGCCAGATGAGATAGTAAACTAAATTTTTGACTTGAGAAATATCAGTGGCGCTCAGTGTTTCATCGTGGATTTTCGAATGAATGATGTCCGCTATTGGACCTGGAAATGGCTTCGAACGTGACAGCAGCACAGATACTGAAGATGCGTTGGACTCTCGTGAAGGTCGAAAGAGAATTCTAAAATATCGACAAAGGTGAGGCTTCATGATACTTCCCAATTTCTAGATGAAACTACTGTACTCCTCAAATGACTTGAAAAACTACAATGAATCTCTCTTAAATGGATTTAGCGGGAAATGAAGATACAATCAGGGACGTGAGGTCCAGGCTAAATTATTTTTAAAGGCGTAAAGCTGTTCTTCATGGAAACTTGGAATGCCATAGAGCAGTTTTCGCCAGCAGTGCTACCTTTTTGGAATGGCGGGCCGGAAAATTTCCATAAAAGTTTTTGGACCGGAAAATTCCCGAAAAATTTCTGCGGACTGTCAGTTTTGTAAAATGTTTGCAGACTCGAAAGTTTTGCATGAAATCTTTATAGCAGGTATTTGAAAAGTTTCTACTAAAAAAAAAAATTAGATTGAGTACCAATGAATCAGCTATAGCTGTAGAATGTCTTCAAAAATTAGAAAGGTAAGCTTGAAGAAAGGGTTCTCAGATTGGAAACTTGGAAGAATATGATTCAGCAGGTGAGAATTGGTCTGAAGTATTATAAGGAGAAAAGCCAACTTTTCTTTTTCATAAAATAATTTCAACTGCAATTGTCTTCCAAAATTTCAGATAAAGATCATTGCTACTTTTTATAAATTTGTAATGCAGAAGAAAATTTACTAAAGACCAGCAAAAAAAATAAAAGCTTCTGCGGACCGGCGCCGGTCCACGGAACGCAGGTTAGGGAACACTGCCATAGAGGCATGGATACATCTATCCTGTAGCACTCCGGATTTCCAGTGCAAAATGCAGTATGTGCAGTATTTATAGCAGATCAGGCTTTAGGCTTATCTGTTCTAGAAGTTCCGCGAGTCATTGAGATACTGTATTACTCATTTTAATGTTAGACAAATTTATTGACCACGCCTTGAATTTTTCTCATGCATACGAATTATAGACGCAACATTATTTTAATGCGATTCATAATCAGAAATGAGTCCGTCTTCGCATGAAAAAAATTTTAAGAATTTATTTCTTGTGGAGGAATGTTAATTGTGTGCCTAATGACCTCGCTTTTTACCGAATAATTTCTTTCAGTTTCCCTGGTGGCAGTGGTCAACCGAAGCCGAAACCCTGTTTAGTTCAGCGTCAAGCCTCGGCTTCTAGTGGTGGCTCCAGTCCAAGTACAGACATGGCCGTTTGGCTTGGAAAATCTCGGTAAGAAAACTGCGCTTGGTGTAAAAGAATGAAATCTGCTTTTATTCTGACTCTGATGTCATTTTTTTTTTATTTTTGTAAATGTACTTGGAATTCAATATCCTGAGCTCGATTAACGTAGTCGTTGATTGATCAAAATGAAAATAGCTCATCGCTTGAACATCTGAGCATAAATTGCTTTGAATCCCTCAAAATGACAATTGGAGTTTTATCCCGTGCTGTTGTTGTGCTTTGAAAGTAGCTAAACTTTAATTCAGGAAAATTTGCTGAGGGATGAGATATTGCTGTTGACTTTGGCTTGGCATCGCTTTTTATACAAAAAATTTTGTCCAAGCATGTAGATTTTCTTTTCAAAATTGGGTTTTTTTGTTAGTCATTGGAATTTTGAGTTGGTGCGTTTTTTTGTTGTTGATAGGGATAGCGACGGGTTGAGTCGACGCAAGGGCCGAGTTGTCGACGGAAGCGGAGCCGATGACGACGAAGAAGAGGATGAAGATGACCTGAGCGTTCGTAAGATTTCCGTGGCACCGAGATCCCGTGTTCCTTCTTCCCGTGCCCCTCCACAATTGCAGCCTGGCAAGACGAGTTCTTCTTCAGATTTCAGGACCAGTTCGATGTGCTGGATTTGTCTGACAATGAGATCAGGAAGGTGGATGGCTTCCCGACATTGAAGCGTTTGAAGTGCATCATGCTGAATAATAACCGCATAGTGTGAGTGTGGAAAAAAAAAAAAGCTCTATGGAGCTTTCGAATATAATGCTGGAATTTTATCGAAATTTTCAGGAGAATTGCGGCGGCGCTTGGTGAAAGTTTGCCAAATCTCCAAGCCCTGATTCTATCGAATAATCATTTACAAGAACTCTCCGACTTGGAGCCGTTAGGAAACATTCCATCCCTGGAAATCGTTTCTTTGCTGCATAATCCAGTCGTTCATAAACCTCATTACAGGTGAGTGTTTTTTTTGTGTGTTACGAAATATTCCTGTGTTTATTCGAAATTATATGCCGCTCCGTATTCCGTTTCAAGGAGTTACGTGATCACCTTATTGCCCGAGCTGAGGATTCTGGATTTCAGAAGAGTCAAGCTAGCGGTGAGTTAGCCAAAATTGTACTGTATTTTGTTTCGTTAGGGTTCACTGGATGTACTTGATGTTTTAGGAACGCAAGGAAGCTGAAAAACTGTTCAAATCTAAGAAGGGCAAAGAAATGAAGCGAAAAATTGAAACTGCCGCGAAAACGTTCGTACCTGGTGGGGAAATTGAGACAAACGGCGACGCGCCTCCAGCCAAAAAACCAGGTTCGTTTGAAATTAAAATTTCGCATGCCGTGTGTATCGTGATTTCTGCGCTCAGGATGAACGTTTTTCAGATGGTACCTTAAATTAAATATGGCAATTCAGAATTTTTAGATGATCAAGTTATCCCATTGTCCGAATCATGCATTTCTTTTCTCTCTATTTTTCAATCTTCATATATCTCCCCGTGGATGATTATGAAAAATTATAAAAAATATTGCCTATGCCGTACCCGTTACAGTTCCCTACCCTTTTTAAAATCTAAAAATTTTCAATTTCAAAATTCTTGTTGGATCTAAATGCAACTACTTTTCTCAAAAATAATTCATCAGTGGTTGGCAACTTACATTTAACTGATTCAAGCTTCAGAAGGGAAAATTCAAAGTTGACGAGTAAAACTTCGTACAGGATTGATCAAATAATTGAATGGAAGTTTTCAACAACAGAAGTTTGACACTATTATTCGGACTTGATTCAACCGTTCTATCTAAAACCGTCGAAGTTATATTTTTGAGGAAGATTTATTGATTAAATGATGGAGCTCTGTGTCATTTCGTTGGCATATTTTCAGCTGGTGCCGCCTCAACTGCGGAAATGAGAAGAATCAAGCAGATGATAGCGAATGCAACATCTTTGGAAGAGGTCGAGAGATTGAATCTATTATTACAGAAAGGTCAATTGAACCCCGAGACTGCGAAGACCGGAAATGGTTAGTTTGAATCATGCTTAATTTGTGCTCGTTATTACTTTAATTCTACTTTTACTATTTACAGGCGATTCCGAAATGGATGCGGAGTGAAATTCTGGTCTTTTTTGATTTTCCAGCTTTTTGTCGTTTTTTTTTCACTTCGCATGTTTTTCCGTTTTAAGTGGTTCAAATGCGAAACGTAATGCAGTTTCTTTCGAAATTTGAAGGCTGATCAAGAGCAGATATTTCGTATTGAAACCGAATTTTTGACCGCCGAGAAGCGAACCAAGGTTGCTCAAAAATTCTGGCGTAAATTTCTTTTAAGAATGATTTTTGCGGGAGAAATGCCTTGGGTTGATGCATTTTTTCTGGTCACGCTTTTCATCGCCATCCTGAAAGCAGCTCTAGGAGCCTCTCTCTTAGTGATCATTATGAAAACATGTTTTGTTTCTCCATTCATGAAGGTGTATCATTTTCTGCGCCAGATGAGATAGTAAACTAAATTTTTGACTTGAGAAAAATCAGTGGCGCTCAGTGTTTCATCGTGGATTTTCGAATGAATGATGTCCGCTATTGGACCTGGAAATGGCTTCGAACGTGACAGCAGCACAGATACTGAAGATGCGTTGGACTCTCGTGAAGGTCGAAAGAGAATTCTAAAATATCGACAAAGGTGAGGCTTCATGACACTTTCCAATTTCTAGATGGAAGTACTGTGTACCTTCTCAAATGACATGAAAAACTACAATGAATCTCTCTTAAATGGATTTAGCGGGAAATGAAGATACAATCAGGGACGTGAGGTCCAGGCTAAATTATTTTTGAAGGCGTATAGCTGTTGTTCATGGAAACTTGGAATGCCATAGAGCAGTTTTCGCCAGCAGTGCTACCTTTTTGGGATGGCGGGCCGAAAAATTTCCATAACATTTTTTGGACTGGAAAATTCCCAAAAATTTTCTGCGGACTGTCAGTTTTGTAAAATGTTCGCAGACTCGAAGAAAGTTTTGCGTGAAATCTTTATAGCAGGTATTTGAAAAGGTTTCTACTTCTTTGAAAAAATTAGATTGAGTACCAATGAAGCAGCTATAGCTGTAGAATGTTTTCAAAAATTAGAAAGGTAAGCTTGAAGAAAGGGTTCTCAGATTGAAAACTTGAAAGAATATGATTCAGCAGGTGAGAATTGGTCTGAAGTATTATAAGGAGAAAAGCCAATTTTTATTTTTCATAAAATAATTTCAACTGCAATTGTCTTCCAAAATTTCAGATAAAGATGACACTTCATTGCTACTTTTTATAAATTTGTAATGCCGAAGAGAATTTACTGCAGACCAGCAAAGAAAAAAAAAAAAAAAAACTTCTGCGGACCAGCGCCGGTCCGCTGACCACAGGTTAGGGAACACTGCCATAGAGGCATAGATACATCTATGCTGTAGCACTCCGGATTTCCAGTGCAAAATGCAGTATGTGCAACATTTATTGCAAATCAGGCTTTAAGCTTATCTTTTCTTGAAGTTTCGCGTGTTATTGAGATACTGTATTACTCATTTTAATGTAAGGCAAATTTATTGACAACGCCTTGAATTTTCCTCATGTGTACGAATCATAGACGCAAGATTATTTTAATGCGATTCATAATCAGAAATGAGTCCGTCTTCGCGTGAACAAAATTTAAAGAATTTATTTCTTGTTCAGGAATGTTAATTGTATGCCTAATGACCTCACTTTTTACCGAATAATTTCTTTCAGTTTCCCTGGTGGCAGTGGTCAACCGAAGCCGAAACCCTGTTTAGTTCAGCGTCAAGCCTCGGCTTCTAGTGGTGGCTCCAGTCCAAGTACAGACATGGCCGTTTGGCTTGGAAAATCTCGGTAAGAAAACTGCGCTTGGTGTAAAAGAATGAAATCTGCTTTTATACTGACTGTTATTTTTTTTTAAGTTTTGGAAATGTACTTGGAATTCAATATCCTGAGCTCGATCAACGTAGTCGTTGATGATTGATCAAAATGAAAATAGCTCGTCGCTTGAACATCTGAGCATAAATTGCTTTGAATCCCTCAAAATGGAAATTGGAGTTTTATCCCGTGCTGTTGTTGTGCTGTGAAAGTAGCTGAACTTTAATTCATGAAAATTTGTTGAGGGATGTGATATTGCTGTTGACTTTGGCTTGGCATCGATTTTTATTTTTTTTAATTGTTGTAGTATGTAGATTTTATTTTAAAAATTAGGTGTTTTTGTTAGTCATTTGAATTTTGAGTTTGTGCGTTTTTTTGTTGTTGACAGGGATAGCGACGGGTTGAGTCGACGCAAGGGCCGAGTTGTCGACGGAAGCGGAGCCGATGACGACGAAGAAGAGGATGAAGATGACCTGAGCGTTCGTAAGATTTCCGTGGCACCGAGATCCCGTGTTCCTTCTTCCCGTGCCCCTCCACAATTGCAGCCTGGCAAGACGAGTTCTTCTTCAGAGAGAGTTACGCTTGTGGTGGACAACACGCGATTTGTTGTCGATCCAGCCATGTTCACTGCGTTTCCTGAAACCATGCTTGGCAGGTTCGTTGATGACTTTTTTGGTCAAGCGGTACTGTTCGCTTGGGTTCGTGAGGTATTCAATTTTCTGAGTTGAGATGCTGGGAAATCACTGGAATTGATAGCAGGACTTGAAAGTCTTCATTCATTTGCTGAGGATTTTTTTTGTGATAGCACATTTAGTGTGAAGTTACCTTGGTTAACGTCTCACTCGCCAGTCGATGTGATTGTCATGTCTGGGAAAATGTCAATTCATTTAATTTTTCGCGCATAAAATGCAGTATCTTCCTTTTTCCTTGATCAGTCAAGCGCTTAATTAAAAAAATGAAATTGAATTTGCCAGAACAAAAACGTGAAGAATGTGATTTGAACTCCCATAGTTTCTTCGGACTTGACTTCAGCCAAGCCCCGTCCATTTAGTGCCATGTCCCTTTAAAGCTGTTCAATAAATAAAACTCTGCCTCAACTTGCTTTTTTTGTCTTTGCGGAAAGTTGATGATTCATCGAGGTACCTTTTTTTTTCTTTTGCAGGATGTTCAGCAGCGGACAAGGTCTTGAGTGGGCTCGCACCAATGCCCGCGGGGAATACGAGTTGGGCGACGGATTGTCGGCGACCATTTTCGGGGCCGTCTTGGATTTCTACAAGCCGGGATCACAGGGAGTCCTCTGGTGTCCTCCGTCGGTGTCGGTGGCGGAATTGCGAGAAGCGTGCGACTACTTGCTTTTGCCGTTTGACGCCTCTACGATCAAGTGTCAGAACCTCCGAGGCCTGTTGCACGAGCTCAGCAACGATGGGGCCCGTGCGGAATTTGAGCGATTCTTACGGGACTTGGTGTTGCCTGCGATGGTGGCTGGGGCCGAACGTGGGGACCGAGAGGCTCATATTGTCGTGTTGCTTGACGATGACATTGTGGACTGGGATGACGAGTACCCGCCGCAAATGGGCGAAGAGTATTCTCAAAGTGAGAATATTTTCTATGTATCTGCCGATAATTGTTTTGTCGCAAAATTTTGGAATTACGGGATATTTACGCCATTGAAACACACTTGTCTTGTAATTCAATTAATGGCGTCCTGAATCCGCATGAAAAACACGATTTCATGGTGGAGTCTAAAAGTCCACGCCCAATTAAATGATGCAATGTCTGATTGACTGATCGAATACGAGCCTTGGTTCATAAGTTTTGAGACTTTTTGAAATAGATTCAAGGGAGTTTCCACAATTCCAAAAATTTTTTTTACTCCCGCAGAAAACCATCATTTGGCATCACTTCAAATCTGTTCAAAATTATCTGCCGATTTAAATGTATTTTTCATGCGATAAATGCTCCGGCCAAAAAATTCCGACAATTGAGTTCTTAGTTGATAGGCATCCTGTGACTTCTGGCTGCTCCAACAGTGATGAACGACCTAAAAGGGGTTGATTTTGAGGACAGGGACAGCCTCGTTTTCGTCGTCAAAGAGCAACTTGATTGACTAACTGAACGTTATTTTTTTGGCGATGTTTTGATTGTTGAATATATCGCATGAATAAAAGCATTGAAATCGGCAGAGAGTTCGTTGAACATCACTGGAAAGCTGCCAAATGATGGGGCTATGCGAGTCGAGAAATTTTTGGGATTGTTTCATGTTTGAACTCCGCTGGATATATTTCAATAAGTCTCAGAACGTATGAACCAACTCTTGCTGAATGAAACCTCTTGGGTAAACTTCGAAGTATAATCCGAACAGAATGCGAGGAAAGCAAACTCACAATTTCAGTGTTCATTGAGAAAAGCATACGAAACGAAACGAATGTTTTCTTTTTGGCATTTTACTTCAATCAGTGACAATGCAGTCATCGTGTTTCGAGATTAGTTTCTCTTGAGCAGTTCTTCGTTGTGACGCATTGCATTGAAATAGGTGATGTCGCTTGAAGTCCAGTGAGTTATCGCGGATGTCCTAATACTGTATTACAAGTAAGGAAAGAAACCCCTAAATCATGAATAAATGGATTTCAAGGTACCATCAGTGTTCCACCCACGTTCACAATTTTATAGATACGAACCTTTTTCGAAAGAGCTATTAATATTGAACATGCCTACGTTGATGTATGGATGAAGCACTGTACCAATTTTATTGACCCAAGCTTATTATTTTCTAAAGCCATCCACAGCACAGCGTTGTACCGATTTTTCAAGTACGTGGAGAACAGAGACGTGGCAAAATTGGTTCTGAAAGAACGGGGACTCAAGAAAATCCGACTTGGGATTGAGGGATACCCGACCAACAAAGAGAAAATACGGCGACGTCCTGGAGGTCGCATGGAAGTCATCTACAACTACGTTCAGCGTCCTTTCATCCACATGTCGTGGGAAAAGGAAGAAGCACGTAGTCGACATGTTGATTTCCAGGTGAGATAAATACTATTTTTTAATCCCTGCATGTTGCGTTTGTGATGAAGTCATTGAATTCGTATTGAAAAGAATATCGAATGAAGGTTTATACCGTATCTATCAAACGCCTGTCTCTAACGAAGGCTGGGTTTCAGAAAAGCTTAAAGCAAATAAAAGGCGGTCTCTCATTAGTAGCCAGGTGAAAGAAGGGTTGGGATGGAAAGAATTCTGAAAATTCTCGTGATCCAAAAACTCCGTTACACCTATGTATTAAGAGCTGAAGAAAGAACCCCTTACCTATGATCAATCCTTGGAACATTCCTGTCGCATTTCCCAAGAAAAATTTGCAATCTGGGTGTTTTTCATATTTTTTACCTGGGGTTTTTTTCTGTTTTTCTTATCTTATTTATTTTTATCGTGTTGGGCAGTCTTAACTTGTAAACAAGTGCTGGTCTCCATTAAAACGCCCGGAAAAAAGTTTTATTTTGAATATTTAAAAAATACGGGGTGTGTTTAGTAGAGAATATACAGTATAACTTCGGACAAGTGCAATGAACATCGAATAAAAAAAATGTACGACGCGACTCCAGAAAAGTTTTTCACTTTATAGATTGCTCATATCATCATATGCGTAAATTTTGACTTGTGGGAATCACTTCTTGATCATCATATTTTTTTTCGTACGATCTTTTCTAGTGCGTGCGTTCGAAGTCAGTGACCAATTTGGTGGAGGCGTCGGCGGATGCCGTTCTTGACGGACAAGCGCTCGCCCCTGTTCTCGCACTGCCAGTGGACGCCCCGGTCCCGCATCCACTGCGTGAAGAAGCGGCTCCGCTCCGAGTGGCGTCTCAACGCGGAGACGAAGCGGTGGGTGTGTTGTACGCTGCAGCAGCCGCCGCTGCTGCTGCGGCTGCCGCGAACAGCAATCAACCCCAGCTGCCACCACAGCAGCAACAACGTCAACAGGCGGCCAGTCCGAATCACCAGCAACTGTCGTTGCAGTTGCCCTCGCCGCCGTCCGCACCGTCCGTAAGCGTGTCTAGCAACTGCAGCAGTAGCAGTGTGCACAGTCAGCCAGGCAGCATGAGTGCGTGAAGAAGAACCAGGACCACCGCTTAATCCGAATTTTTTGTTTTACTCGAGAATTGAAGGTGTTCGTGAAGTCCACCGGATTGGAACAAATGAAAGGTTTTTTTTCAAGTGTTGTTGGTGTGGATTCAGCGAACGCTGTTTCGAAGGCGCTTATGCAACTTCGCGTGCAGGAAAGTAACGCCTTTTTTTCCAACTGCCTGCTCCTACGATTTTCTTCGGAAGTTTTATCGCGAAAAATTCAATGGGACGCAATGGTGCAGCTCGACGTGATCATTAGTGAACTGAATCTGTCGTAATATAATTTTTAAAGAGGAAGAAATAGTGCTTTTAAGGCCTATGTTAGGTCGTGGTTTGCGAACAACTCGAGTCTGTTCATAATTTTTATTCAGAGTTATTGTTATTCGCCGTGTCGAATTCGACTGGAAAACCGCGAGAAGTGTCAGAAATCAGGATTATCGATGGTTCTAAATGAGAAAAGAATAAAACTTGTAATAACTTGGAAATAATTTGCGCCCCTCAATAGAGGTAAAGCTTTACTCCTACACTTCTGTTCCTAACAGGATTTGCGATCAACTCACAATTTTTTCAATTCAATCAGAATTATTCGTCTTCGTTGAATACGTGCCTCGGGAAATTTACTTGAATTTTTTCAATGCGATCCTGTCTTGAGACAAAATAAAATGTAGAATAACTAATACCATAGGAATTCCAAAATTTTTTTTGGATTCAAGTATCCCTGGTTACATCGTTTCAGCTTTCCTTTGGTCATGATTTCCTCACTATTCTTTTTCTTCGAGATCCATGCACTTGTAAATTCTGCTAGTGCGCATTAATGCGGACAATTCTAATTTCCCGCTTCCAAATATAATTTGAATTGAAGTCTGGACGATCCCCGAAATAATCTTGCCTATTCGTGCATCTGTAATATGGTTGAATTTTTTTCCTGAACCCCTCCCCGTTTTCTTCATGAATCTTTTTCGTTGTTGCTTGTGTCCAATAGTTCTGCTTGTGTAATGGAAAACACTTCGTTGTGCGTGATTTTGTAGATAATTACAATGTGATATTATTTTTATGTGGTCAGATCTATGTTCGATGTCATAGTTGTTGAGTGGAAATCGTCCGACGCTTGGGGACCAATAGGCAGAACAGTTCAAGTCGCGGATGAAAACAGCTCACTCTCGTTACGTCGCGTTTCCTTTTTTTTCTTGTTTATGGGCGTGCCTATTTTTTATTTGAGGAAAAATCAGAGTTCAATGGGAAATGTCTTCTAGTGATATCAGAAATATTCCTCGGAACTGCCGCTAGGTTGAGTTGGATACTTGTTTTTTTTTTTTTTGTTCAGTATTCTGATGGAGGGCCATTCAAATTTTGTTGCATGTGTTGGGGACGGATGTTCTTCATTTAAATATCAAAATTTTCGAATAATATACGTGGCGTTCTTCTTTACCCGTTGTCGAAGAGCCGACCTGTGAATTACCATTAAGTCAACGTTCATCTTCCAAAGTTAGCTTCTTTGAAATTCTTGCCCTGTATGCTCGTGTTTTGGTCTGCTTTGTCTCCAAACCCGCATGTTTTAGGTATTGTTGCGAATTTTTTCATGGAACCCTCGATTCTTGTGACGGCCAAATGAGGGCGGAGAAAAATCACGAACAGCAATAAAATGAGCTCTCCAACGAAAAGAAACCCCCCGTTTTTCTTAAACCTTGAATAGAGTTGAATTTTAGTTACATAGTGTATATTTAAAATGACAATTTATTACACAGGTGAATTTTTAAGGCGGTGATAATATTTGTATGCTTATTTTCTCTTCAAAAGATCGAGTAATTTGGTGTAATTCTGCAATCGTCTCTTTAAACGTCCGAAATCGAGAATAAATCTTTCAGATTTAGGATAAGGGGACGTTTTTTCTAAAGCGAAATTGTGTATCTTCGTGGGGTTGTCGAACGATGACGAAAAATCTGTACAAGGAAAGAATTCTTTTTACCCGGCAAATAATAAATTCTGCTCAATTTTCAATATGTGGGTGCATGGGTTGTTGAGGCTTGAAGAAAAATGGAATGCCTCAAAAAAGCTTCGAAACGTGTTGCCGCATTCAAATTTGAATGAGATCAATCCGAACCTCTCCAGTCAATCGTTGCAGCAAAATCGAAACTCAAAATGAAATTGTGATGTGGGTGAACTTCCAATTTATCCCAAGAGCCGGATAAAGTCTTCGTCCCATTTGTCATTTCTGCACGAGGCACTGATGATTAATTTCCTTTTTTTTTTTCTCACTCACGTTTTTGAAAATCAACCGCGGGTGAAATAATTTAATTCGAGTCAATCATCACAAGGAAGGTTCGTGTCATTCGAAGTTCGTTTACGTTGCACGGTTTGAGACAATGTTCACCAGAACATCGAAAGTTATTTTCATGCAGTGTTCGCACGTTTTCGCTAATGTTTTATCAAGTTGGCTTGAACGAAAAGAAATCTCTGCTATTTGTGATTTCCTACGATATATATTTTTTTTCTTTTTGCGGATTTATAGTCCGTAGAATCGCGTTGTTCGCCGAGCGGCTTGTTCTATGGATTGGTTTAGTGAAGTCTGATGATGGGAAATCATTGTGTTGCATTTATCTTGCTTGTCTCTTGGAGTTCTGGGATCAGTGAAGTCATCATTATATTCGAAAAAAAAAATATTTGTTGAGAAATTTACTTTGGGGACGAGATGGATGGTACGGTGCATATAGAATGACGGACATTTAGCAAAATGTATTTCTCCGGTGTGAAAATCAGCTGAAAAGGTTTTCCTCGACCTGTTGGGATGTCAGCTGAATGAAGAGCCAGACAGAATTGAACGAATGTACAGTATATTACTTTAAATTTGACTCACAGTAAAGATACTGTACTTCAATTTGCCTTATAGAACGAAAAAAAAACCTCAAGAAGTCACAGAATTTTTTTTTTTTTTATGTGTCCCATGTCTGTATAGAGCTTCGATTTTCGAATCGGTTTCCAACATTTCGTGAATGAGAAGCTATTATTGAGAAATGGTGGTTGCATTTTAAATCTTTATACGGTTGCAAAATCACAAAAAGATACATAATTTTTCGTTCACTTAGCCAAAACTATTCTCAGTATAAATTGATGCTTCGAAAATTTTAAATTTTCGGCTGGTAATCCTCAGTTGCATTTTTGCATCGTGAATATACCCTTCAAGATCGGGTACGTTACTGATGTATTTATCACAAAAAATGTTGAATGACGATTTTCTTCGTTTTCAAAATGCCATCCACTCTTCTGATTAATTCGGCATAGACGCGTAGTGAGTTTTTGCACAACGAACGCCTCAGGAACAATTTTTCCTATGACAAAGATGGGTTGATGGAAGAAGTGAATATCATCAAATACGATATAACTCGCATGAGAGAAGTTGCTAGCCAGCATGATCATCAATTGTCTCCTTTCTGTGAAGTCCAGAAATTGAAAACTATGCGCACCGGACAATTTGTAAACGTTTTGAAGCGTTCTATACAGACAATTCACACAATGATTACTATAAATTCGTTCAGCTCTGAACTACGCACGAAAAGAAAAAAATTCTACTTTAATGTAGCTGAGACAATCCTGTTCCCAGCTGAAGTGATATAAATCTGATGACCTAAGACTAAGTGACCCCCAAACACTTCTATAGATATTCCAGGGTTAAAATAAGTACAGCAGTACGTTGAACTTGGATATGATTATAAACGCGGAATATTTCGGCATCCCTGTGTTTCCAAAATAAAAATGAAGAGCTGTCAAATATCATGAACAACTTTACTCCTCGAGAAGGTACAAAATCATTTTAAGAAATTAGATTTCATTTTTCTTTGCAAATCTAAGATATTTCTTAGGCTAGAACAACGTTCCTACAAATCTTTCCCACGAAGAGCCCCCCCATTTTTTGCTAACATCGTTCCATTAAAACTTCTACCTGTTTTTTTCTTTACAAGAAATATTATGCACTTTCAGGTGGCAGGCGAAGCTCACTTGATTTTTTTTCCAGAAAAAAAGGTGGAAGTGCTCTTCCATTCAAAAATAAATAAAACACCTTGTTATAAAATTCTTTGGACTTGATAGATTTTATTTTCTTTGTGAAATGGGAAGAGCTGTTCAAATGTTGGATGAGTGGATATATTTTCACGAAAATCATTCGACGCTTTCTTTCGGAATGAAAGAAAGGGAAAACGAATTGGGGAACATATTTTCGCCGGGAAAAGTTCGTTTGTTTTCAATATTTTCATCTAAACGTATATTAAAATGACGAATATCTAAGAATGTACAATGTATTGAGACGTATATGTCATCTGATGTTTTTGGAGAGGACATGTGTCTATCACTTTCATTTTTGAAGTGCTGCATGAGGTTAAAGCATATACCGTATGTAACGTCTTTTTAAAATGGTTCTTTGCAGTGAATACAGTACTGTACATTCAAATTTAGAATGGTGCTTCTACATTTTATTCTTTTAGTAAAGATGCATTTATTTTCTCAAGGAAATGGCGTATTTATACTTACAAAAGCTTCTATCTAATTCAGTAATTAGAACCCTGCGTAATGTGCTTTTAAACCAAAATGTTCGAGTTGAGATCACCGTAGTCCTCATCCAAGATTTGATAGATATTCGACCTGAAACGAACTCATGACAGGTCGTGAAACTAACGGAAGGAATCCTTGCGCATCCGATTCAATCCCTCGATTTTAAGGATAACACCTAGGTGACAATCAAAGGAGCAAAAAAAAATGAAAATTACGAAAGGAATATAAAGAATTGTGAAAAATATCTTGCGGAAATGCGACAACACGCCTAATCCAATAAAAAACCCCACTCCCCAACGACAATTAAGTCGACGCGCGTGAATCCGTAATCAAAGTTTGTCGTTTTTTTTTTCTGGCCGAAGTATAAAAGCAATCATGGCTGTGGAAAAATATTAGTTCTGCTTTTGAGGATCTCTGATTCTGTTTGAAGCCTTTTTTTGTGCGATTGCTTGTTCAAATTTCCGAGGTAAATATATATTTCAAGCTTCAATCACTATCAATTTTGAATGTGATATGTTGAAAATGAGTATCGTACAGTTTTGTTGTTGAAATTCTTAGATACACTTGGATTTTCAAAAAAAACATTTAAGTTAATTTAAAACAACCATTTGCTTAAAAAAAAATCAGCAATTATAATTATATTTATGCCTGATTGAATAATATTGCATCAGTTCGAATTTGTCAAGTCTGCAGAAATCGATCATATATGGGTATCACTCAATGTTTTGTTCTGGAAAATATCTTTGCAATCCCTGATCCTGTTGACATTCTTGCAGTTCGATTAGTTGAATTTGGAAATGGAAAAGCAACCAACGCTCGAAAATGGCAACAAACCCAAGGGCGAGGGACTTGACAAACTGTCCCTTCAACGCCAGGTAAAAATCAATTAAATGCGATTTACAGTATTTAGTTTTTTCGACGTTTTGTGCTGTAAAAATCACGAAGAAAACTGGTTTTCAGGTTTAATTTATTTTACAACGCGTTGATGGCATTTTTTTTCTGTTTTGGGAGGTGAATTGAAAATGCCTCATGTTTCTCATCAGGTATGCGGAACATTTTTTGGATGGTCAAATAGTTTTCTTCTCGGTTTAACATGGGGTTTCATTACTGTCGGCACCGATTCTCTGGTGGTGGAATCAGAAAAAGGAATCGCCCCTTTTACCGTCACCAAAGCACAAACAGCGCAATTCGGTGAGCTTATTCTTTTATTCCTTGAACCAATTTTTTTTTACGGTCAATTGTGCACAAAATTCCTAATAATCACTGATCTTTTTAAATATTTCGTTGGCAAAAAAATTTTCGCTATTAAATGTATGCGATCGAACCTCTCCAACTTCGAGGGATCAGCGGAAAATTTGAAAAACAGATGTTTGGAGTTTGGAAAAAAACAGTTTGCGTTGAAAGGAAAAAAATGATTCCATAAAATTGTAATTGGTGATATTCTATGCTTTTAAATTGCTTCTTAAATGAGTTTAAATGATTATGTACTTTGAGGCATGGGTTTATTTGCCATATTTAGTCTTTCACTTCTTCGCAAAACGCATCAAGTTATATGTTTATCGCGTTTCTCTTTCTGTGTCAATAAAATAATTTACAAAAGTCCTCCAGAAAATTTGAGGTTTGGAGGATTGAGGAGGAAAGTCTTCGGATTAGGAAGATTTTTTTTATGCAATGTTCTAAAGAGAATTCGGACTGGGAACTTTAAAAATTCGACATAGAGGGAGGAATTGGACTTGAGAAGGTTTGAGTTATCGATGATGCTAAAATTGTAACGTACGTCGTGCATTTTTTAGAATTTCCTAATAAAAAAAATATTGCCTTGAAATACTAAATTAAGTCAAAATAACTAATTTTTTAAAGTTTGCAGTCCATGTAAATTACTCACTCAAGGAGATTTGGTACAAACAAATGCAGACTTGTCAAGCAGAAACAAGTACGCGGAAAGATGTTTTAAAGAAAGTCGAAATGTTTGAATTGCTGGTATACCTGAACAAAACTGCGGCCATTTTGTTTTGTTTTTTTCAAGCCTACGTCTTCAGCTTCGGCACAATCGTGGCGTCACTAATCTCGGGCCACGTCACAGCCCGTTTCGGTCGCAAATGGCCGTGCCTCGTAACCCAGGTTGCTTACCCAGTGTCGTGGCTGCTCATGGCATTCCCCACGGGCTTCGGCATGATGCTCTGTGCCCAGGTCATGACGGGCTCCATCATGGGGCTCCGCGGCTCCATAGGCCGCATGTACGTGGCCGAGGTGTCGCACGCACGCTACCGCGGCCAATTCCTCAACTCCATCTTCCTCCTCATCCTCGTCGGCATGCTCGTCGAGTACGTCGCCATCGTGGCCCTGGGTAACTGGTACCGATTGGCACTCTTCAACATAGCACTGACGACCGCACCCATGCTGCTGTTGCCATTGCAGCTCAAAGTGCCCGAGTCGTATGTTTGGCTGGTGGCCAGGGGTCGGCTTGAAGAGGCTCGCAGGGCTTTGCAATGGGTCTATGGCGATGGGTTGGTTCATTTCTTTTTTTTTCTTTTTTTGTTGTTGTGCAGCTATTCATGCTAAATTAGAGGAGTCTCAATTTTGAGGTTTCAGAAGCTCTAAATTCTCCTCCGGCGGGATAAAAAAAAAATGGAGGTCCAGTGCGTGTCTTATCTTGAGAGCAACAAAGTACAGTGAGACCCCCACATGTGGACACCTAGACCTGTGGACAATTCGACATAGGGACACTTATTTTCCCAGAAAAAAATGAATAAAATAGGCCCAACATGAGTACACTGACTTGACATAGGGACATTTTGTGATACAATTGCAAATACATTTCAGGCCAAATTACACAAAACAGATATTTCCAACCCTAAAATTGATGTGAGAAAAGTTCTTGGGCAATTCTCTCACCAATTTACCATCCATTTAACTAATTTTAACAAATTACTGCCAGCAGAGAGGGACTTCCTTCTCTCTTTTTCACTTGAATGTTATTTTTACAGAGAATGCCAACATTTCTATGTACTCTACAGAGGTATCAGAATTCAATTCCCAAAATGTCCACATTGTGTTGAAACATATTGATTGGAATCAGTTTAACTTGGAAGTCAATTTTTATTTTCATGGAATTATG